AAAAAAAAAAATACTGGTTCTTTTGAACTTTGTTCATCTTAGAATCCTGAAAAAAATATCATGGTTTCCACAAAAATATTAAGCAGTACAGCTGTTTTGATAATTATTAGTATTAACATTGATGATAATAAATGTTTCTTGAGCACCAAATCAATAATGATTTCTGGAGGATCACTTGACACTAATGACTGGAGTAATGGCTGCTCAAAATTCAGCTTTTAAAATTATTCCATGTTATTTTGAAATATATTAAATTTGCGAAAGTAAAAATCTGACCAGGCCTGTTAATTGAGCCCTGGTTAACTTAATGCCGTAATGATGGACATGTGTTTTCTCTTGATCTCTTTATAGAACCACCAGACCCTCATTGGCTGGCCTTCCTCATTTCAGTGACTGTGTGCTTCTGCACCCTCATCTGTGTCACTGTCATCTGTTATTACAGGTGAGATTGTCACCGCACTGAAGCGGCAAAACACTGAAGCTCTTACATATACATATACATATACTTACATATAGCCGTTTGTGACGTGCCCATTTTTTCCACATCAGTGAATTGTAATGTTTGATGTATTTTTGCATAGCACCTTTGAAAACACATGCCCACCCACATCATGGTCTGTTGTCAAAAGAGAAACACTTCTGTTATTGCAAGTAGGGGCAAGACTACCAATACCTTGTCTTGGATACACAACTATGGAAAAGTTTGCCTTTAGAACAAATTAACCTTTTAGTGTCTGTTTACTGAGCTGTCTGCAAGCAGCAACCTTCCAGTCTCTCTCTTAAAACCAACACGGAAGTGACTTAAACTGCAATTCATTGACTGGCGGCTAGAGACTGGCTCCAAAAGGGAGTCAATCCCATAGGGAATACATCAACTTTCACCGTGGACGAAGCGGAGTCCAGCCGGCCGGACACGGCATCAACAGTGTGGTGAGGGGCGTAACATGTCTGTCTCACGCTTGAGGTATTCGGCCAATCACAACGCACTGGCTAGCTGGCCAATCAGAGCACACCTCGCTTTTCCGACTGATGAGCTTTGTAAAAATCGACGCGTTTCAAAAAGGCGGGGCATAGAGGAGAAACAATAATGTACAGTATGTGGAAAATAATGTGTTTTTTTTACTTTAAACCACATGAACACATTTCATTACACCAAATACACAAAATAATGTTCTTTTTAGCAACGTCATATGACCCCTTTAAAGTTCTGCATAAATAATTCCGCTGCTGTCACTACCGTCGAGCTAGGCGGGCATGGTTTCAGCAACCAGTTACCTCAGCTCCACCCACGTCCCGCCTCTTTGCCCATTTTTGATTATCCGGGAGTGACGCGCTGCCAAGATGGCAACGGCCGGCGCCACCCACTTTGGGCTTCAAACATGCTCTTCAGAAACCTACGGGTGACGTCACGGACACTGCGTCCATGTTTTATACTGTCTATGGCTGTCTGTCAAAAAGTGTCTTGTTGTTTGAAAAAATCAGAAAAAAGACTTTGAAAAAGTCAGGAAAGAGCTCTCAGATGTCATGTATAGCTGTAAAAAAAGATTTTGTTTTTGACTGTGTCCTCAGGTATAAGTGGCAGACAGTGAGGCAGCGCTACCACAGAGACCTGGAGCAGGACAAGGCCTTTATCCCAGCCGGAGAATCTCTGAAAGATCTCATCAACCAGTCTCAAACCTCAGGCAGTGGCTCTGGGCTCCCCCTGCTGGTGAGAAATCAGCAATGCAGACTGTAGGATCTTTGTAGGACTGCTTGAGCTCATTTTTTCACTGTGTTCCTATTCACTTTTTACAGGTGCAGCGCACCATTGCGAAGCAGATCCAGACAGTGCGTCTTATTGGAAAAGGCAGGTATGGAGAGGTGTGGCTCGGCCGGTGGAGGGGGGAGAAGGTAGCAGTGAAAGTGTTCTTCACTCGAGAGGAGGCCAGCTGGTTCAGAGAGACGGAGATCTACCAAACCGTGCTCATGAGGCACGAGAACATACTAGGTACACTTCATGTCATTCAAGATGCTCTGGTTCTTGTGGAGTGTTTGTAATTGTATATCAGTTCCATGTTTTCCCATGTAACGCAACTCTTCGATCTGTCCGAAGGCTTCATTGCTGCAGACATAAATGGCACTGGAGCCTCTACGCAGCTGTACCTGATCGCAGACTACCATGAGAACGGCTCTCTGTATGACTATTTGAAGTTCACCACTCTGGACACACAGACCCTTCTCACACTGGCCTACTCTGCAGCCTGTGGCTTGTGTCACCTGCACACGGAGATCTACGGCACGCAGGGAAAACCAGCCATTGCTCACAGAGACCTGAAGAGCAAGAATATCCTCATAAAGAAGAATGGCACCTGTTGCATCGCTGACCTCGGGCTTGCTGTGAAATTCAACAGGTGCTTCATCACATTCATTGTATAAGCTTGTTTTTTTTAAATGGTTTGTTCAGTCATTTTGAGGAAGTAACATTTTTTTGTTTGTCTCAGTGACACAAATGAAGTGGACATCCCACTGAGCACACGTATGGGCACCCGGCGCTATATGGCTCCAGAGGTCCTGGATGAGACTCTGAATAAGAACCACTTTCAGGCCTACATCATGGCGGACATCTATAGCTATGGGCTGGTTATATGGGAAATGGCCAGACGCTGTGTCACTGGAGGTATTCGTAAAACTAATTCACTGGCGAATCTTTCTTTTGTTTTGCTTTATACATCTGTTAAGAGATTTTTCTTACCCAAGCCATCACTTTACAATCAGCATGAAATGGAAATTCACCCTATAAAGGTTCTAAAATACATCTTAATGGTGTACTTCATTTCATACTTTTTTTTTTTTGACCATTCAGACCAATCATTTTGTCTGCATAAGCCCCGCCCCTTTCTTATAATCAACTGCAAGCTTGCATTCAGAACTGCCTCCGTCCAATCAACAACTGATGGATAGAACCAAATCCCGCCCTACATTTTTTTCTTTTTGATAATTTTCCCTCAAATTTCTGTCACAATACAGAAGAAAATATCTGTTACTACTTCCCGTTACATTGCAACTTTTAAGTATTTTGATCTAAAATGATCTCAAATGAAAACTTCCTGTTGTGGATGCTTACAGAATTTAAACTATTAGTAATGAATGAATTCATCCACTGATTGTTTCCAAGGTATCGTTGAGGACTATCAGGTACCATATTATGAGATGGTGCCATCAGATCCGTCTTATGAGGATATGCTGGAGGTTGTGTGTGTCAAAGGACTGCGGCCCACTCTATCCAACAGATGGAACAGTGATGAGGTGAGTCATCCAGCAGATGGCAGTATATTTACAGATTATATTTGCAGATTGTTTACAGATTTAGTTAGTATTTGTAGCTTTGCATAGAAGCTCGAGTTATAAATATGTACAGAAGAGAAATGTATTTCCTGATTTGAAAAGAGTTTGTCTCCCCAGTGTTTGAGGGCCATGTTAAAGCTGATGTCAGAATGCTGGGCCCACAATCCTGCATCACGCCTGACTATCCTACGAGTCAAGAAGACTTTAGCAAAAATGGTGGAATCTCAAGACATTAAAATCTGATCAGCGGAGTGGCTTTTATTTCATCTTTGACATCATTGTCCCCTTCACAGAGGAGGAGGAGAGTCGTGATAACTATGAAATATAGCAAGCTTTCTCTTTCTCTGCTGGATCAGACAGTGGTGCCTTTTGCTGCTTTCTGTGAAAGCTGTATCATTGCAAACTTGGATTAGAGGATTACTGCAACAGACTGAAACAGTAGAGTGGGAAAGATTGACGTAAACCCCACTGCCTTAAAATACACAAGTTATTCTGCAAATGTTTCTTTAGATTCTGGGATCAACTTCCTGCCATATGGTTGAAATGCTGTTGACTTCTCATGGATTCTGTGTAAAGCGTACTGTGATTTAATGTATGATGTGTAATATATTATAGTAATAGATGAACTGACAACAGAGCAAAATAATATGCCATCAATATAACCTCGTTCAGTTAAGAGCTCTTGTAGACTATCTGCCCACCTGATGTGTGGCATTTAAAAATCATAATTTAACTCTACAGTAGTTCTTCTCTCGTCCCCCACAGAAGGTTAGAGGTAAAGAGATGCATGCTGCTTTTTCAGTAGATGCAGTTTGATTTTTCACACGTGTCAAAATGATTGTTGCCTAAACCATATATTGTTTGCGCTTTTAAAGCATGTTATTTTTAACATCCTCAAAATAGAAAACATTCCCAGTGCAGCCTTTGAACGTGTATTTTCATAAAGTGAACCAGCTGTCGATACATCTCATTTTAATTAGGAAAGAAAACTCTTCATACTGACAGGCCTTTACAGTCGAGTGGATCTATGATTTGTCTTTAACTGCAGTCCGTGTGAACACCCCTTCAAAGATGCCAAACTCTGGGATGCTGGGTCGTTTTTTAGAACAGATTACTATGAATGTGACTTTGGAGGATTTGGTGATATTCTGATCATATGTCCTTGCCAATATTATGAATCATGTGTTTGAACTGTGTTTGTGAGGTAGCTGAAGGTGAAGGGTACGACTGCAAGTAACATCTGTTAGTCATCAGTGCTTAAGATTTCAGTAAGGGCTGCCAAAATACGGTCTTGGTAACCGGTACGATCCAAAACACACATTATTGTTGCATAACTTGTTTACAGAACTCCCATGCACATTTAATTCTGTTATTCTTTAGAAAGTGCATTGTTGTATTCTAGAATACTTGTTTATTATTCTCAGTGCCATTGAAAAGACCAATGTAATTTGTAAAGAAGAAAGAAAACGATTCACAATAGTTCTTTACACCAGTATCTGGACCCTTAAAGACAGGAACAGTGAATATACAATGCTTTGATAATATCAGTGCCAGACTAAGGTGCTTTGTCACAATACTTCCAGAACAGTATGCCCTGAAATGCCAAAAGGGCATCTTGATTAAAACAATATGCCAAGGTTACACACATGCTTACGAAAGTATTTAAAATATTCGCAAAATAAATAATCGCTATATTAAAGGAAGCATTATCTCACCTCAGAGTGGGTAACGCCTGCAAAATGCTAAAGAAACACTAGATTTGGTGTATATGAAAATATATTTGTATACATTTGTTGCTCTTACTATACAAGAAATCTGAAAATTGAATCTGTGAAATTGATCATCTATATCAAATGTTTTCTGTGGCTAAAAGGGATTTTCAATCGGACCATTAAATTAGCTTTTGAATGCAGTAAAGAAAGGGGAATCATCTTGTGGCTATTCCAATGTTTCTGAGGAGCATTTACCTGTTGAAGAATCTCATCTTTATCGTTTCAATAATTTTGTCTGCATTTTCCCAAATACTAAATTTTGCATCCATCCCCTATGGCCTCTGTTCTTCATCCAAAAACTGAGAATGCACCTCTTCACTCTAATCTGAGTTATGACATCTGTTGATAGGACATGTGTTTTACCATACTGTATATATGCCTGTAGATATTTCGATGTGCTCTCCCATAGTATCACCCAGCCCATCTCTATGTAATATATTAAACAACCTGTCTAATTTGAAAAAAAAGTATTTTTTTTTTCCAACCCCATTTTGAAAGGGTTATGAGTAGGCCTCATACTCTACAATATTTGTCCATGTAATCTTTTAAAAATATAATTTTAGTATACAACTCTTTTTTTGTTGTTTGTTTTGTTTCTTTGTTTTTTGGTGAGTGTTGTTTCTGTTTGGTATTAACGGGAAAAGTACAATATCTTGAAATGTAAGGAATATCATGTAGTTGTCACATTGAAGCCAAATGTAAGACTTTTGATAGTCCACCAGGTAGGGACACATCATCTAAACCAGTGTTTCCCAACCGGGGTGCCGTGTAAAAAAAATCCTTTTTAAATTGCTAAAATGTTCCCAAAAAAAAGCATCTATTATATAATATCCATTTCTGATGTCGCCAATAATTTTCGGCCCGAATCAGTTTTCTAAAGTGTTTTTGAAAAATCACATACCCTGCCTTTAAATAATGTTTACATATGTATAAAAGCCTACATTAAAATCTGTCATATAAATTGGTCTTTTCATTAGAAATTAGCCTACTGATTGCCACCATTGATGGACATCTTTTTTTAATAATATTAAAAATATCTGTATGACATTATATTCTGCAGTTCTTCCCTGTTGTACCGAATATCTATACTTTTCAAATTATCATATCGAAGTTAGAAATTCAAATATTGTGACAAAATTAATTTTGTAGGGTGCCACAAGTTTGTTTAAAATTTCCAAAGGGTGCCGCGACTAAAAAAAGGTTGGGAAACACTGATCTAAACCATTCTCCTTGAAAACAGTGCTCAGTGTCTCAATAACCTGTCACAGTTACTAACAACATAAGCTGTTATTTTAGTCTCTCAGATCCTGAAAGAGAAATTTAAGTGGTGAGCATTGTAAAAAGAAAAAAAATTGCATGTTCTCAGGTGGTCTGCAGCATTAGTAGTCCCGCAAAGGTGTTATCTTGTGGGTTGTTGCACTCTATAGTTCCCTGCACCAGCTCTAGACGGAGTTCCTCTCCTTGCTCCAGCTGCAGGATGCAGACACGTGTTGCAGGTGCACCCAACTTCCTCGGGCTCTGCCGCAAGGAGGCAGCTACCTCTCCACCTCTCTTTAATTGAGCCAGAGATGGGCCTGGTCCAAAGTCAAGTGTCACCACAAAGAGGTAAGCACCAGAAGTAGGAGCCCGAAATATGCCTGTTTTTGGCGAGTATAACTGTCCATGATTTAGGGTCACGCTTTCAAAAAGTATTGTGCCAGATCCATTAGTCCCTTCGGTAGTGCTGGCCAGGAACATAATTGGACTATCTGGGAGCTGACGAAGCACTGTTTGAAATCAAATGATAATGATAAGATATTAAAATATGAATGCTTAGAGGAAAGAAAAAAGGGATATGATGCAATTACAACTGACTTTTACAGGGCGTGCTTTTGTCATGTAAAAATCAACTAACATTTACTCTAGGTTCAAAGTGAAGAACATTTTACATGCTTAATGTAACATGTTCAATAACATAACATTATCTGCATTATTTCTGTCTAAAAATTTTTATATTTAGTTATTTATGGCAAGGGTCTCAGGCTTTCCTCATTAGGAAAGTTTTTAGCTGTGTAAACAGCTTATTCAGGGATTGAAAATTACACAATGTTAAATTCTTGTTTAAAAATACTAACATACATGGACCCCTGCACACAGGCACGGCGCCAGAATTTTTTCTCTACCGGTGCTAAGGGGGGGCTAGACCAATATGTGGGGGTGCTAAGAAAATAAATGATATTGATGACGTCAGAGTTACTTCATAAAGAAATGGGGCTAAACCGGGGCTATTCAAAATTCTGACGGGGCTATAGCCCCCCCTAGCCCCGGTGTAGCGCCGTCACTGCCTGCACATGACGTGGGGTTGAAGAATTTGTTCCCACAACCTATTAATTTGTGGCCATGTTTTAATTAATTCCCCCATTTTAGTTAAATTATGGCCATGTTGTACTAATTTTCCCCCTCATTTTAATTTAAATCATAGCCACGTTTTAACTAAAACAAAGTTGTGGGAATTAATTCAATAGAATATTAAAATAATTTTGATGTGCCAGTTTTTTAATAGAGAAAGCCCTGTAACTGGCATTTGCAGCGGGAGAAACTGGATGAATTCACAGTGTAATTCAAGAAAAAGATATATATTATTAAGTGTGGTGAATCGTTTTGCAAGGTACTATATGTTTAATTCTCCTTAATATCTCCTTACCTGCGGACTCCAGTGATGCATCCCTCCTGCTGCGGTAATTCACTCGTTCTCCTGTCTGAACAGCTCTGTTATCTGCTCTCTTCTTTTGTTTCCTGTTTTGTTGTTTTGCTTCCTTTCTCTTCATCAATGCTAACAATTTATTCAAATCCACAGACACCTCAGAGCCAGTAAGTCCCTCTGTATTACTGAAAATGCTGTTAAAAACTCCAAGGTGGGTCTCCAGGTCCTTACGCAAAACCTCCACCTCAGACTGCAGTTTCACCTCCACACCACCAGAGGCAGAAGTTTTAGTGCAGTTGCAGCAAGAAGGACAGTGATGCTCCTCAAGCTGTTTAATGTGAGCTCCAAGTTCTTTCACCATTTTCTCTAAAGTCCAGAAGTCATCATCAGAGTACTCTGGCAGTTCCTTGGACAAGTCAAACCTTTCATCCCCACGTCTCCTTTTGGTGCCCACCGAGACCCAGTCTGAAAGCACTGAGGGCTCATCTGCTGCCGCCACCTGAGGGGTAGCAGAGTTCAGCATTGAGGCCAAGCTGCGACTGTGTCCATTGATCTGCTCTTGCATTTCTCTGATGCTTTCCCTCAATTCTGGAATAGAGAAACGTCTTTTGTCCTCATGAGACAACAATATAAACTCCAACACCTCTTCCTCCAGCAAAATCTCCAGTATCTCCGAGTGACGAATGGCGTCCTGAAGCAAGGTGTTGAAAATGCTATGTAGTTGCTGGATCTTCTCGACCTTGACCCTGTCCTGCTCCTGGAGTGTTTCGATGTCCTGCAGGCTGCCCAGCAGAGAGGCCTGGAGCTGGGTCACATTGTGCTGTAACATTCTGCTCTTTTCCTGTTCAAAGGCAAGGGACTTTTGCACATTTAGTAGCCCTAGTTTCAGATCTTCCACGGATGGAATCCAAGCACCATTGTCCTGATTGTCCAACATCTCCTGTGACGCACTCTTACGGGTCAACTTATTTTCATTCGCTATCTTCATCACGTTGGCTACAGTTTGTTCCAGTTGGGTCACAGATGCTCCAAGAGCGATACAGTCACAATCCCCACTTGCCGAACTTATATTCTTGTAGAACTCTGCATAGAGATGGTCAACATCAGTCTCCATCTCCTGCATGGTGCTCTGGAGAACACTGATGTTGCTGCTTAGCTCATTAATGCGGTCAAGAACTGCTACCTTGGCTGCCTCCACCTCTAAACCGGTCTCCATAAACTGAACCTGGCTGTTGCGGCCAGTCTGGACTATTTTCTTGTCCAGATCTCTCCAGCCATTCTGGAGGTCCTTAATGTTTTCAGTCACTTGTTCTTGGCCTTCAATCAAGCCACTAAGTCTCACTGTGTTGTTGATGACTTTGTTGTCCAGACGTGTGATGGCCTCCCAAACAGCTGTGCTCTCATAAGACTGACTCTGTGCAGGATCGGTCTTCTTTTCATGCCAAATCTTCTGAAGTTCCTTGTCCAGCCTCTCTTGCTCCTGCCGCACTTCAGACATTGATGTGTTCAGAGAGTGGAGATTCACCTAGAGCAAGATACACACATTTAGTACAATAGTTCTGCACGAATAAAAGTTACTTGAGGCTGGTAGAGGTTGAGTCAAAATTCTGACCTGTAACATCTTTTGGTTACGCTTAATTTTGACATCCATGTCTGTCTTGAAATTCGTCAGGTTGTAGTGCAGCATGATTTGCTGTGCGTGGAGCCTTGCTTCTACCTCATTGCGGTGGTTGCGAAACTGAGCTTTCACCTCCTCCAGCTTCTGGAAACTCTCCCTCAACTCTGCCTCAACAGCCTCCTGTGGATTGTGCTCCTCACCACCAACCTCTAGAGGCTCAGCGACCCTCCCCTGCCCCTGCTCATGTCGGAGTTGGTCCATGTCCCGCTGCAAACCCTGCACCTCCTGAAAAAGCCGTTCCAGGGTTAGATTGAAATTCTCCAACACAGGCTGCAGCTGAGACATCACAGCCTCTTTCAAGATTGGTAGGAGCCCATGGTGAAGGTAAGGTATTTCAGGGTGAGGAACACCTTCATTTACAGCATGAGGATCTGGAAATAAAAGACACGTGAACTTTGAATTGGCCTTGTTTAGAAAGAATCTTAAAATAGATGTGTTCTCATTGGACATCAGTTTCTATGAAAATTCTAAGCAACTTACAAAGAGGGGAATCCCAGCAACAATAATGTTTTGGAGGATAATAACCACATTGCCAAAAATAGAAATTTGATTCTATTGCCATTCTTGGATAATAATTTTCCCTGTGGTACTGTTTGTCCTCTTTGACTCTGTGCTGCGCATGAGGAAACATCGATATCATGTTGGAAAGAGTTATATCTCTATTTCCAGCTCAGCATGGGCCATTCAACTGACCTTTGAACCTTTTAACTGACCCATCAACAGCCCAAGGCCTTTCACATCCCCTGCATTGTAAGAAATGTGTTTTGTTACATTTTTGTGCACAAGTTTTAGTTACGAGTTACGAGCAAGAAGCGATGTGTAC